TTTTTTTTTACTGATCTTTCTAGTTATTATACAACTTGTTGCTAGTTTTTTTAAAAGAAAATATGATTGGTTCTTATAAGATTTCATTATATCATCAATGATCTTACTAATATCGCTAGTATAGAGAAACTGTTATATTTTTTTCTTAACAGAATTATTTTTGGGGAGAAAATCTTTACAAATTTTGTACCCTGAAATAAGTCTTGGGACCCCATGCTACTTTCCTTTGTTTGAATTTCGCGCCTTCATCATTCTTGCTTCTAACAGAGACAGAATGAGACTATATTTTTATTTTCTAGAATTTACATACGTTTTTAAGTTTTAAAAAATGATTTGTTCTTAAAGAAAATATGATTTTGTGTTAGTGATTGATATTGGCAAGCAAATTTTGGTAAAAAGAATTATTGGACAGCGTTTTTTAAGAAAAATCTAATTAGTTAATTTTACTGATCTCTGTAGATAATATACAACTTGTTGCTAGTTTTTTTTTAAAAATATGATTGGTTCTTATAAGATTTAACTTTTTTTTATCTGCTTACTTTTCTCTGTCGTTAGATCCAAAATCAAATCTTGTCTTTTTTGTTTTCACCACCTCTTTTCTTATCAAAATCAAATTCTACAATTAGTTTAATTTTATTTAAGTTTTCATTATATCATGAGTATAGAGAAACAAAACTGTCATAATATTTTTATTTAAGTTTTCATTTTTTTAAGTTTTCATTATATCATCAATGATGTTACTAATATCACTAGTATAGAGAAACAAAACTGTCATAATATAATTTCTTAACAGAATTATTAGGCAAAAAAAACAGCTGGGAAAAACAGCTGTACCCAGTTAAAAGACGAAAAAACACCTGAGAAAAACAGGTGTGCCCTTGTACCCAGTTAGAAGACAAAAACACAACTGTCCCTAGTTCAAAGACACAGCTGGGAAAAAACAGGTGAGGTCCTAGTACCCCGGTTAGAAGACAAAAACACAGCTGCAAAAAAACAGCTGTCCCCAGTGCGATAGTTTGAAGACAAAAAACACAGCGTGGGAAAACAGTTGTACCCTAGCACCATAGTTACAAGACAAAAACACAGCTGTCCCAGCTGCATTCCCACGATCTAGATAATAACTCTTCGAAGACAGGACAAAGAAGTAGCTGAGGATAAAAGCCGCTGAATTTTTCCAGAACTTCACTCATCGACCAACTTTTTTCTACCAAGAACTTCACTCATCATGTCCGACATCGGTAAGTAATTTTTATTTTAATAATAATAATACCTACCTTAATTTAGATTATAATTTTTTTTTATAAACTAATTGTAGAATTTGATTTTGATTTTGAAAAAAATAATAAGAAGAAAAGAGGTCCTAAGCCTAAAACAGCCGACAGTGGTGAAAACAAAAAGACAAGATTTGATTTGGATCTAACGGCTGAGAAAAGTAAGCAGATAAAAATTCCAGACTTTAAAATTAAGATTAGCGAATCTGAGAGAATCGAGATACAGGAATTTCAGTCAAATTTGTATGTATGTATCACAATAAGTAAAGGATCATATCCTGCAAATAAATATAATATAAATGTAAAAGATTTTAGCAAGTATAAACAAGCATTCAACGCATTTGGAGGAATATACCAAATTTTAATAGTATGGTATAATGTTTTTATACAAATTATTGATTGTGTAATGATATAATGGTATAACAGTTTTTTAATATTTGCGTAATGTTTTTTTATAATATAATGGTTTTATGCAAAATTATTGATTCTGTGATGATATAATGGTTTTATACAAATTATTGATTGTGTAATGTTTTTATGATATAATGGTATAAGTTTTTTAAAAAATATTTGCGTAATTTTTATAATATAATGGTTTTATATAAAAATATTGATTGTGTGATGATATAATGGTTTTATACAAATTATTGATATAATGGTTTTATACAAATTATTGATTGTGTAATGATATAATGGTATAACAGTTTTTTAAAAATATTTTGTGTAATGTTTTTATAATATAATGGTTTTATACAAATTATTGATTCTGTAATAATTGGTGAAAACAAAAAAGACAAAATTCGATTTGGATCTAACAGCTGAGAAAAGTAAGGAAATAAAAAATTCCCTGACTTTTAAATTAAGATTAGTGAATCTGAGAGAATTGAGATACAGGAATTTCACTCAAAATTTCTATGTATGTATCACAAAGTAATATAAATGTAAAAGATTTTAGCAAGTATAAACAAGCATTCAACGCAATGGGACAGCATTTGGAGGAATATACCAAATTTTAATACAAATTATTGATTGTGTAATGATACGTTTTTTTTTTTAAAAAAAAAAAAATGGTTTTTACATTTATATTAAGGAAAAAAGCCTTCAAGGGGTATGTCAGAAGTTATAGAGCATTTATCTCTAATTATACAGATCCTAGTATTTTATTTGAAAATGTTAGACATACTATTTATAATATTTTGACTAATGATGATTTAATTTCAAGGATGAAATTTTTATTAAATCTAAAGATAAAATTTATAAAATATTCAGAAAATGAAACTATTACGTATCAGGATGTGTTTTTCTCCAGTCGAGTAGAACATATTTTATCTCGGTATATGATCGATGAAAGGTTAACAAATGCTTTTGATACAATTTTAAACTTCATTGATCAGTTTATAAAAAACGGATCAGGGTGGATAATTAAGGAAATTATATTTTTAGATATTCATTTAGGAATTTATAAGGCTGAGAGTGGTGGATGTGGTAATATCATCCTACCAAAACATTTAATTAATAAGCGTTGTTTGTTGAATATTAAATGTAGTGATAATCAATGTTTTTTATACTGCGTAATTGCTAGTTTGTATCCAAATACTAACAACAAAAATTCGATTTATTCGTACAGGAAATTTTTGAAATATTTAAATACAAATACCCTAAAATTTCCAGTAAATATTAAAAATATTCCATCATTTGAAAAAAATAATAGTTTAAAAATTCAAGTATTTGGATATGAAAAAAAAATAATTTATCCTATTTATATAAGTAAATATCAGTTCGAAAAAGAAATTAATTTGTTATTATATAAATCCCATTATTTTCTAATTAGAAATTTTAACAGACTATTGTCAGAAAAATCAGGAATACGAAAATTTTGTAAACGATGTCTTATAGGCTTTCAAAGAAGCCATACTTTAAATGAGCATGTGAAAATATGTTCTAATTATAAATATCAGAAAGTTTCTACCCCGACTGGAGAAAGAGCGGTTGCTAAATTTACTAATTACGAGAAGCAATTATATCACCCCATAGTAATTTATGCTGATTTTGAATCGATTCTAGAAGAAGTTGATGTAAACGCTGTAGATCTAAATTCTAGTTTCACTAAAACTATTCAGATTCATAAACCTATATGTTATTCTATCGTTATTATAGAAAATGATGATGATTTATTCTATTCTAATTTTTATTGTGGTAAAGATGCTGTTAAGCATTTTTTATTTGATATCCAGAATCAATTAAAATTTTTATTAGATAAAATAAATAGTTATGTAGAAATGAATGTGGATACTATTCCCGATAATTACGAACATCGGTGTCATATATGTGAGGAGGGGTTTAATTATGATGATATCAGAGTAAGAGATCACGATCACTTAACAGGTGATTTTCGCGGAATAGCTCATAACCATTGTAATTTAAATTATAGATTCAAAAAATTTATTCCTATTATACTACATAATTTTACAGGTTATGACTCCCATCTGATTTTCAAAAATATTCCTCCTAAACTATTTTCGAGAATTCAGATTATCCCAGTTAATTCAGAAAAATTTACTACGTTTACTTTAGATCATTTCAAATTTATAGACAGTTTCCAATTTTTAAATTCTTCGCTAACTACTTTAACAGAAAATTTAAAAAATGCAAATTATAATTTTCCTATTTTTAATCAATTTTTCTATAATAACGAAAATAAAAATTTATTAAAAAGGAAAGGAATTTTCCCATATTCTTATTTTAAAAATGAGGATATTTTATACGAGAAATGTTTACCCCCAAAAAAATATTTTTATAACGAATTATCTGGAGAAAATATTAGCGATGATGATTATGATCATGCAAAATTAGTTTGGAAAAAATTTCGTTGTAAAAATTTTAAAGATTATTTAAAATTATATCAATATGTTGACACTTTATTACTAGCTGATATATTCCAAAATTTTAGAAAATTAAGTTTAAAATATTATAATTTAGATCCAGTATATTTCATAACAGCTCCAGACTTAACATGGAATTGTGGATTAAAAATGACAAAAATTCAACTCGAATTATTTAAAGATATTAATATGTACCTTTTTATTGAACAAGCAATTCGCGGCGGAATTAGCCTAACTTCGAAAAGATTCGCGAGGGCCAACAATCCTCTAATTCCAGAAACCTATGATAAAAATCAACGACATAACTATATTATTTCGATAGATGCTAATAATCTCTACGGATTTGTGATGAGTTCTTATTTACCTGTAAATAATTTCAGATGGTTATCTGAGGATGAGATAAATGCTTTAGACATTTGTAATATTCCCGATAGGAATAATATAGGCTATATTTTAGAGGTTGATTTAAATTATCCACCAAATGTTCATGACCGCCATAATGACTTACCATTAGCTCCTAATCATACATATATTCCATTCGATTTATTATCAAATTATCAAAAATCGGTATTAACTAAATTAAATTTAAAATATAATAATAATAATAAGAAATTAATTCCAACTTTGTTTGATAAACAAAATTATGTAATTCATTATAGAAATTTAAAATTTTATTTAGAAGAGGGTTTAATATTAACTAAAATTCATCGAGTGCTTGCATTTAATCAAGAACCATGGCTTAGAGATTATGTATTGTTTAATAATAAAAAACGGCAGGAATCAACGAATGATTTCGATAAAAGTTTTTTCAAGTTAATGAACAACAGTTTTTTCGGTAAAACCTGTCAGAATGTGAGAAAGCGTTTAAATTTAAAAACAGCCATGACTGAAAATCAATGTCGAAAGTATTTATCTCACTCAGCTCTCGAAAATTTCCAAATTATTAATGATAATCTCACGATTTTTAAAATGAAAAAAATTAACTTATGTTTGGATAAACCGATTTATATAGGATTTTGTGTATTAGAATTAAGTAAATTGCATATGTATCAAATATTTTATAAAATATTTAAAAATAAATATGGTGAAAATGTGAATTTGTTATATACAGATACTGATTCACTAACACTTCAAATTTATACGAATAATTTATATAATGACTTTAAATCATTTCCAGATATTTTTGATTTCAGCAACTACCCTAACACACATGAATTATTTGATGTAACAAATAAAAATAAGCTTGGATATTTTAAAGACGAGACAGCGTCTAAACCTATAATAGAATTTTGTTCATTAAAACCGAAAATGTATTCGTATATTTTCGATAATCAAAATAAAAAAACAGCTAAAGGAATTAAAAAATCTGTTGTTAAAACCTTTAACCACGAAAAATATAAAGAAGTTTTATTTAATACTGAGCTATTAAGACATCAGCAGTATGGTATTAAAAGTAAAAACCATATTGTAACAACATATCTTCAGAATAAAATATCACTCTCCCCGTTTTACGACAAAAAATTTATTTCTGATAATGGTATAGATGTGATATCGTTCGGACATTATACTTTTTATATTTAAATTCTTCCAGATTCTCTGATATCATCTCCCCCCCAATACGGTTACATATTATTGTACAAGAGGAAACGAAATTCAAAAACTTGTTTAATACATGGTGTTTCGAGTAAAACATATCGTTGTTTAAAACAAGCTGTAAATAAAGCTGGATTATTTAAATTACCAAATAATAAGAAATACTTTTGTAAATTTTTTGTATTGACTAACCAAATAACTATGATGTTATGTAATAATAATTTTATAAAATGTAGTTGTTCTAACTGTAATCGTACTTTTTAAAAATGTTGTAACCATGTTTATATATAATAAAACTATATCCTAATACAGAGTTTTTTTTATAGAATTCAAACACATTACACCACTCGAATGGGAAAAGTTTTCGAGTTTACCGATGGACGAAAATAATATCAAACGTTTTAAAAACTATATTAAATGGGGAATTATAAGCCAAAAAACTGATTTAAGCAGAGACTTCATTTCTGAATTTGCTGATAATTTAAACTGGGAGCTAATATGGAAAAATTATATATTCACCACTACGTTTATCGAAAAACATATTAAATACGCTAAATGGAATATAATTTCCGAACACCAATTATTAGACGAAGAATTCATGGATAAGTTTTCGGACTATCTTAATTGGGATAAAATAGCAAAATTTCAACTTCTCTCCGATAATTTTATTAAGAAATATATTGATAAATTAAATATGAGAATAGTTTTAAAATATCAGCGATTAAATACCGATACTCTACGGGAATTACAAGATTTTCTCCACTGGGATTTGGTTTCTCGTTATCAAATACTGAACGAAGATTTTATTCACGATTTTAAATACCATCTTTTCTGGTGTTATATTATTAAATATCAGAAACTAGATCATAAATATATTGCTGAAAACTCTCACAGTTTGTTAGTCTACATACTTCAGGATATTTGTAACATTGTTGATGATATAATGGAAAAAATAAATAAATTCGATGAAGAAGAAGAAGATTAAAATCTGTAACATATCGATTTTTAAAAGAAATAAAAAAGTTAAGAGTCAATTGTTTTTTTTTTTTTAAAAAAAATCTAGTAATTAATTACATTATCCACAAAAATCAGAAAATATCTAACGATAGAGAAAATCTTAAGTTCTGAACAGAATATTGAATAGATGATGGAATGTGGTTCACTTCAAGGGGCCAGTTTTAGGTAAAGAATGCAGTCTAACAACTTACTTCGCGACCGTTTTAGGGGTAAAAAAAAGATTTCTCCCAAATAATTCTGTTAAGAAAAAATATATTATAAGAGTTTCTCTATACTAGCAAATGATATAATGAAATCTTATAAGAACCAATCATATTTTCTAAAAAACTAGCAACAAGTAGTATATTATCTACAGAGATAAGTAAAAAAAAAAACAAAATATTTACCATAATTCGCTTGCCAATATCAATCACTAACACAAAATCATATTTTTTCTTTAAGAACAAATCGTTTTTTAAAACTTAAATTGTATATAAACTCTAGACCAGAGGTGGGGAACCTTTTTACCATTAGAGGCCACATTTAAATTAGGCAGCAATAAGACAGGCCGCATAAGCTGATTGATCTAAGAAAGTGACTTTTGTGAAATTATTATAGTTTTTCTTTAGATTTAACAATTTATTGCATTATATAGAAAAAATAAAATATAATACTACAAAATTTTAAATATAATATACATATAAAATAATATAAAAATATCATAAAAAAATACAATAAAAAATATTTTTTTATTCACTAAGTTAGTGACTTATTTGGCTTTGTTTTTTGTTTGACAGTAATTGTATATTTGGATCAAGCTTCGTAACACACAGCTTTAATTGATCCTCTAAATGTGCATCTGTAATTTGCGTTCTTAAATTTGTTTTTATTTTTGACATGAGAGAAAATGTTGTCTCGCAACAGTAGGTACTTCCGAAGCAGGAANCTTTTGAAGTGCAGCTTTTCGTGATTCACCTTCTAAAGCGAAATATTTATGTTCTTTATGAGTCAAATAGTGTTTATTTGCATTCGCTTTTTTTAAAGTATTTAAAACTGTATTGCACAACAAACACATCATTTTATCTTTCTCAGCAGTAAAGAAAAAATCTAACTCCCATTCTACATTAAATGTTCTGTTTTCATCACCTAATTTTCTTCTCTTACTATTTGACATGATGGATAAAAAAACGAATATCAAATAATATCTTTAACAAAGTGTATACTTTCTAGAAATACAATAAAACCGTGTAACTGTTATAAGCACTCACTGTTAACTACAGTTTGCTGAAGATCGCAACAGGGAAGCGTTGAGAGATGCGAGTCAGAGAAGCCAAAGCAAGGTGTGACACTCAAATGGGAGATCTGAAACCGAGTTTTGTTTACTTCTTAGACAAGGTAGTTGGCGCTGCTAGCGCTTTTTAAACAGTTTTTTAAAAAATTAACATTGAGTGTCCAAGTCTGAAACGGATGGTCTGTGGGCCAGAGCCTCGCTCATGCGTGTTAGAGTCCGTTTCAGACTAGTATTCTGACGTCATGTTACAATATGACTGTCTTTGGCGGGATTTTTCGGGCAACTGTCATGACGTTGATGTACAATCGTTGTTTGAAACAAACTCTACCATTTTTGTACTAGGTGGCAAAGGGCCGCACAAGAACCTCGCGGAGGTCGCAGGTTCCCCACCTAGGCTCTAGATAATAAAAATATACTTCCATCATCCTCTTTGTTAGAAGTGAGAATGACACGCGAAAATTCGAAACAAAAGAACATAGCGCGGGATCCACAGGACTTATTTCAGGGTACAAATTTGTATACAAGAGGGAAGTTTCGAACTTTTTTTTAAAAAAAAATTTGTATTATTAAATTCTTATACAAATTAAATATAATTTACACTGTATAAGTCTTTATTTTGATATAATTCAAAAAAACTTTTTATTAATTCAAAAAAATTTTTATAAAAAATTTTTTTTTTTAATTAAGTTATATACTAATTAATTTTTATAACCCAGTTTGTATCAAATGCATACTACTGTTAGAGATGATAAGAAAAATTTAACACATTCTTCAGAAATAATTCAAAATGAAAGATTTGATCATGGCAAGTGAGTTCTCAGAATACGGATAGAAAGAGAAGGAACTACCAGAAACATGAGACTTACTCAAGAAAAGTACACTAAAGACTTCTTTAAAAAATATAACATGCAAGCATGTAATTTCTCAGATAACTGAGACTCTCCTGTTCTAAATGAAGGAAATAGAAAATCAGTTAATCATGGAGGAGTGATAGAAATCAACATCCAAGAAGACGTTGAACTTAGAGCAAGAATCGATCTGTCAAAAACAGACCCAGCTCTAATAGCATTATTTGAATGCTCGGTATGTTATGATTACATGACTCCTTTGATGTTTCAGTGTCCCTCAGGATACGATTTGCTTCAGATACAAATCTCAAGTACAACAATGCCCAACCTGTTGAGGAGACATGCGGAGTTATAGAAATCTTGTGTAAGAATGAATACCTGAAATGATTGCCCTACAAGGAGTTGTTGTCACCACAGTTGAGGTGTTGACCATTCAGTTAAAGGTGAACATGCTCGCTTTTCTCGCGAATGTTTTCAGGATGACACGAGAAAGCCCTACCGTATGGGGGTAGTGGTTTGCAGGACGCAAAGAGTCACACAGAGACCGAAGTTATGAATTCTACGCGTTTATTTGACAAAGACATGCTTACAGGTAGAAACACTGGTCTGTCCTTCTAAAAGATCTTGTACCAAACGGTAGAGTGTCCTTCCCAGAGGCACGTGAGTCTCGCAACGGAAAAGGTTCTCCTGCGTAGATCAGAGAAGGTTTCCTTTTTGGCAGCTGGAGAAGGAAGTGGGCCACGTAGCGCAAGAACCATGGTGTTCTGGAGGAAGTTGATTCCTTTACTCGGATTGTGGAGAATTCTACGATGGGAAGTTCAGTCCCTGAACTCTTCTGCCGTATGTAGTTCATTAGCCTTTTGCTCCGATAGTCCCAAGCTGAGTTGACCAGACTGTTTGCTCCCAACCTCCCCGTGTCCTTGGGATTTCGGGCTTTTATAACCTTTTTCTTCCCGAAATACCGAGATTTTGGTTGGTCCGAATGTTGGTCCCCTGCAATTCTATTGGTCCCTGGTCTGTTGCGGACGCGATTTGGGACACAGGGTTGCCGAATATCCCCGTCCGGGCCATTCCCCTCCGGAGTCAGATCAAGCCCTTTCCCGGATGACGGACCAGTAAATCTTACCTAATGTCTACTTTTCCTGGAGAAGACGCAGCTGTCCCAGCTGCCACCCCCTCTACAGAAGTGTCAGCAGGTCTTGCTTTGAACTCTCTGTAAGGTGACCGTCCAAAGTTTCCCCGACAGTGGATCTCTCACTCGTTCCCACGATTGACGTTCGCGGATCTGTCAATTAGGTCTGGAATGTGACAATTAAATCATCTTGCACCCCATTTCTTGGTCACACCGGTCCTATTTACGTAATAAGTCACTGATATATTGACTTTAGCTCGACAGCCGGTTTCCGTCGCAGGGGGAGTGTGTGGTCCCGACCTCACAATTATTAGATCTGCTCGTAAACCTATGCAAATAGCTGGCAAATTTCCCATGTCTGCTAAACATGTGCGTTGTATAATAGTTGGGAATATACCATTTCAAATTAAGTAAGTTGCGTATGTCTGGAATAAATTCATACGTAATATAATTAGAGTTTTCATTCCAGATCTCCTGCCATATCTGCATACAATCATTCCATAAGAGGTGTTGTAATGTTTGTAAACTAATTTTATTATATAAGATTGGCAATGTTGTATTTTCAGCTGCTTGTTTGGCCAAAATATCAGTCCTTTTGTGTGTCAGTCAAAATATTGATGTAAGCATGATTAAATATACTATCAGACCAGGTAATGGCATTTTTGATGGCGTACATCTCCGCTTGAAAAACAGTACAGCAATTATTTAAACGAATTTTCTGTTGGAAAATTTCACTGTTGTCATAATAGACCACAAAGCTGCAACCCACGCAATCATTTATGCGAGACCCATCTGTATATATTTTTATATTAATTGAATGATTGGCATACCATTAAGCTACTTACATGATAACATACTGAATTGTGTTTTTAAAGGGAAAAGACCATTCCATGTCATTTGGAGTTAGGCTGCCAGAGATAAGTTTGATGCAATTTCCCCATTTAATTCGTTGTAGTTTTTGCCTTTGTCTGATTATAATATCAATTGGGGGTTTTTTGGCAATAACTTGTAGACTTTTATTGCTGGTAGTGCGGAATGCTCTAGTGATCATCATTAGGGCACGCCTTTGTGAAGATATTAATTTCCTCCTAATGTGTACTTTACTTGTGGAACAGCCCCAAGTACCGCAAGCATAAGTAATAATTGGTATATAAATACCATCATATATAATGTTCATAGCTCCAGCAGATCCCCCCAATCTCTCTTTGCTATTTGTGAAAATGAATTTAATACCAGCCCAACACGATCTGTTATATATTTTATACGGTCATTCCAACCTAATCTATAATCTAAGATAATTCCCAGGTATTTCAATGTTTTATTAACATGAATGGTATTGTTGTTCATTTTTAATAAAGGTGGCCTTAAATATAAGTTTTGCTTTCCAGGTTTATTAAAGACAATTGCCTTAGTTTTAATATGATTAAAGGATAATTTATGTTTGTTTCCCCAGTTACATACGTTCTGTAGCATATCATTACCTTTATTTTCTAATTCTGTCCTGGACCTGCCACCAATCAACACGTGTATGTGTAAACAGATAAGGCCAAACTCACAGGTATAGCCCGTAGGATGAAAAGGAAAGGGAGAGGACAGGGATGGAGTGAGAGTGAAGGTGAAATAAAGTGCAATAGAAAAGAGGAAAAGAGCAACCTTAGACCCAT